ATAACATCCATATCACTCTACTAAGGAGGAACAGTAGCAGTAGGAATAACAACAGAAGGTGATGGTCCCTCAACAATAGTAATAATATGACCACGAGGAGGTGGCTTAAGCTCTGGATGGAGCTTCCAACAAACAACCCTAAGATGTTATAATGGGCCACAATAATTGCATTGTTGAGGATTCTCTTATCAGCATTGATCTGGGGCGTCTTGCCAGCGTTGGTCCGAGCACTGTCCACCTTGGCTTAAGGTCCTTAACAAGACCCTACACAGTTGCAAGGGCCATTTGGTAAGCCTGAGGAGGTATGGGCAGTGACTAGGTAGTGGGTTGGGCTGTCACTAGATTGAGGTTGGGTTGTGTGGCTGGTTTTGTTGGAGTTGGATTGAAGTTGGGCAGTGTTGCTGTCGGTGGGTTGGGATGCTGGGGTTGGTTAGGTTTGTTGCTGGTGTTTCTAGTGTCGTTGGGTCTGGGCTGGTGTCTGGCTGTCGCTGATATGGTGGTGTGGCTGGTCTAGTCTGGTTCCTGGGGTGTCGTTGATGTGTAGTGATGCAGCAGTAGACTGTTGTAGTTGAGGCTAGGATTAGGGTTAGGGGTAAAGGTGGGGGCTAGGGTTTTTTTTTTTTGGCTTTGATACCAACTAGAGATACTCGTGAGTTAAGGAGATACTCAAATTGAGTATAAATTCCCGTATATATAACTAAATAATAATATAAAATGACCTGAACATCCCTTTGGTCTAGACAAGACATAAAAGTCATAGTAAAGACAAAAGGTAAAGAAAAAAACCTAATAAATTGGACTTCAACATGATCTAAAAAAAAAAAGTTGTTAGTCTTCTAGATTTGTATAATTTTATAATGAGTATTATTTAATTTGAAAAAAAAATCAAACACGACTTAAACAATAGTTTTTGATTTCTTTATTTACTAGTCTCATTCGTTTCAATGTATATTTAAACGAAAAAAAAGACCAAGAATACATTGATCCAGGCTGGACAAATAATTCAACTAAAATGATAAAAGACACCGCACCAGTTTGATTATACAAATAATAAACATTTCAATTTCGTGTTACATAAAAATAATCGTATTTTGATACAATAGACCCGTTTAACTCGTATTGTAAGAAAGAAATGTCTATTTTCTTTTATTTTCTTATTTTTGTGATCATGTTATATACGAATCCTCGTAGCATATAAATTAGTACAAAAATTTTGGTGAACAGCAAGCACAGCAAGTATATTTGAAGGTGGGACAACAATTTTTGATTGTTCCCATGTACTTTGGATGCAAACAATTGACTTTTCTTTTGTTTTTTGTGTCTCACAATGTGTATGGTCGACAATTTCTGATTGTTCACATGTGCTTTGGATGCAATCAATTGGCTTTTCTTTTGTTTTTTCTGTCTCACATTTGTATAATGTGAATGCATGTAGGTCAACACTATTAGGCCTTTTTTTTTTTTTTCTGTTAACGGAAAAAAAGTTAGGGACAAAGGAGAGTACATAAAGACCATCCTAATAAGTTTTTATTAGTAGAATCATGAGATCTTTGATCATGTCCGTTACTTTTCTTGAAAACGAACATAATTAATTTAATACAACAGTCAACCACCAAACTCCAAGATTAAAATTTTAACCGCANTCATGTCCGTTACTTTTCTTGAAAACGAACATAATTAATTTAATACAACAGTCAACTACCAAACTCCAAGATTAAAATTCTAACTGAAAGATGAGAAGTTCAGTTAACTTTACCGACCCAAATATTTTTTTTTTCTAAAAAAATAAATTTCATTTATAATAATGTTTTCCCTTAGCAAGCGTACAAATTTAATAAACAGATTAGAATAAAAATAATTTACAAGAGACAACCAAAAAACTATGAAATACAAATATTTCAAAATCGATGAAAAGAAAAATCCCTTACAAGTACGTGATAGCTGAGCCAAGGTTTTCATGAGTACAAAATATTCAAAAAAAAAAAAAAAAAGGTATTTCAGTGTTATGAAGCTTTCCATTTTTCACGGCTAACCAAAACAAACGAATGATTCTAAGGTCTCTCAAAAGTGCACGTTTCCGTTCCCATCAATATCCCCATAAACTGACAATAATTAAAAAGAGAAATGCTATTGAAATTTAAAAATTTGACATAGTTTATTGATAAAATGATGTGGCTTCACTATGACCTTTGGTTTGATTGTGGGTTCCATCAAACATAGAAACTTGGTATTTTACAGAAGAGAAGTCATCATAATTGACAAGTATTTGAAAAACGAGTTGAGCTTAAACAAGCTAAAAATGAATCAAATTTACGCCGAACTCAAATAGCTCGGTTTAATTAACAACTATATGTGTCAACTCAATAATATACTTCCTGAGCGGGTGCCTTAGCAGTTCTGTTCTGCATGATGAATATGTTTGGTCTGCAAATAATACCTGGAGTGCCAGACTAGTTAATAGACTTTTTTATGTTATGCATACCCATGATCGTGCAGGTCTTCCCAGTTCATCTGATTCTTTTCATGATTCACCTCCTTATGTTGATTGGTATGAAGAAAAACCAATGACTCTTATAATGTAAGCTATTATGTAAGTATGGTGTAAGCAGTAATATGAGATATTATGTACGTATGATGTATGCAGTGCTGCAACATATTAGATGTGTTTGAATGACATGGTTGGACTGAATCAAAAATCTAAAAAAATATTATTTCTTATCCAATTCATATCTATCCATCATTCAACTGGTTAGGATTTAATGTGTATATCCTATTTTTTCCAACGTTTTGATAACATATATACATGTTTTGTGAGACTCATGGACAAGGTTGATGTTATCAGGGTCGAAGCCAGAAAGTCATGTCAGAGTGAGCACAAATATTTCAACAAATTATTTTTTTTTTTACAATCAATATTTAATACTTAAAAGTTTATTAAATCTAACATACCAAAATTTGGTAAGCTTAATATATACAAACGACACCAATTTTTTTTTTTTTAAAAAAAAAAAGCTAATTAAAATCATTTAGAATTGATTTCGGTGAATTTTCATACTTTGAAACAACTGCATAACAACTTTATTATTTTTTATATGCACCATCATTTTATCACTTTAGTCTTTATATACATAACATGTCCAAAATATGTCAAAAAAATTCATACTTATTTGATATAAGTGTACACTAATTGATGGGCCAAAAAAATAGGGTGGACATAATTAAAAATATTGAAGGAATGCTTGAAATAAATATAGGTAATACTAAGAAAAAAATTTTGAGGGTGGACATGTGCACCTCCGGGCATATGCTGGCTTTGGCCATGCTCTCCACTAAACCTATCAACTGTGCAAGGAATGACAAAAAAATCCAAAGAATTGAGGAATGAGTTTTACTCTGTTTCTTCTGATTGGACAATTGTGAGTGAGTGAGACAGAGAGGAAAAAAAAAGATAACTAATAAAATAGGTGTTATTGATGTCTGTCAAGTGGGCCAAAAATTTTGTTTTTTAATGGTGGACCAAAACATTTTATTTTTTTAATAAGTTTGGGTGAATTGTAATAGGTCAAAGATTTGATTTTTTAATAAGTTTTGGTAGATAGTGGTGGATTCAAATTTTTTATTTTAAATATACTTAATTTTTTAATTATTTTGAGTAAATAATGTGGGCCTAATATTTTTATCTTAGAGCTTGGGTGGGTACAAATAATATATTATACAAATATATAGTATATATACTTAACTAATAATTTTTTTTTTTGAGGGGGGCACGTGCCCATCCTGCCCGAGCCTCCCTGCGCCTTGGATGTAATATGTTGTCATTAACTGATATGCCTTTAGCCCATTCAATCTAACACCATGTTTGATCGTTCTTTGGCAGTGAGTTCTACGACTGGGTTTGTCGGCTTTGATGTACTGTGCACCAAAAATTCTTACTAAAAACAAAAATATATATGAGAATTATTTATTCTAAGCCAATATAAAAGTCATGATAAACAAATATTTATTCTAAGTCAATAAAGGAGCTTCCCCAGTTGTGCCACCACCAGAGCATTATACTATACAGACTCACAAACACTGCCACCACACCCACCAGAGCAATGGGCATATTGTTTGGGACCAAAAAATGTTCATGGAGGAAGGCATGATTGATGGCTTTGGGCAAATTTTTGCGATCCAAACACACTCATTATATAAGTTTTAACCTTAGATTAGATTGAATAAATTTTGGAGTCCAACCTTCTTATAAATAGGGGCCTTGGGTTCCCGTGAGAATCACTCCCTCCACCATAATTCTTGTATAAATTACCCACTTGTTTTGTTTTCCCACACTACATAGATATAAGCCAATTGACTGATCTTGAGAATTCAAAACATTTTTTTAATGATTATTTTTTTATCGGAATTCCTTTATTCAGGTTAGAAGAGCTGGTCTCAAATGTGGATTGGGTGCTTGCGGAGTGGAGTTCATTTGCAAGAATTAGAATCAAGTGAATTAGCGTGAAGTTATCAAGTTAAGGTTCCTTAAAGTTGTTTGATAGGCAGTCCCATGGTTTACCAGATACTCTCAATATTATTAATGCCTCGCTTACTAGAACTACACCACCATTCACGTTATGCCGTTATTGCCGTCTTTGTGGGTTGCTTCCCTTTCATTTGGTCGGACAGTATACACACTCTCATTCAGGAGTTGGACAACAACAAAAAATGGTGGTCTATGTATGCCTGTCTGCTTGGTTTTTTCTATTTCTTTTCATCTCCATTTATAGGATACACAATCAGACCAAGCTATTCAAATTTTAGCCGCTGGTAAGTTCTTCGTCTGATCCTGTTTTTTCATACCTGTAAGCGGCCTGGTTGCACCAACATACATGCGCATGAATTATATTAAGAGGGGTTACTACGATTGAGTTGATAAGAATTGCTGATCCAGGGTTTTTACTCGCAGGTATATAGCTTGGCTATTACTTGCGGCTGTCTACCATCTTCCCGGTTTTGAATCAATGGGAGTGGATTTGAGGATGAATCTTTCTTTGTTTTTGATAATAGGTGTCTCATCCTTTTTGTTTCTTCTTGTTTTCCACGTTATATACCTTGGCCTTTGCTATGTTGGTCTTGTTGCTCGTGTGGCAGGAAGGAGGCCTGAGGTCCTGACAATTCTTCAAAACAGTGCCGTAAGTCCTTTATACCCGTTATTAATTTACATGATTTATTTGTGCCAACAAAAATGAAAAGATAAAAAGTTGTAGGGTTACATAAAACATTATATTTGATAAAGAAGGGCAATAGACGAGTTTTTCATCCAACTTACCAAAATCAATTTTTTCAAAAAAAAAGAGGAAAACTGGATGAAAAATTAATTATGTGTGTTGAAATGTATGTTATTTGTCAATATATTCTTTAATATATACATAGATCATATTCATAAATTACATATTATATATACATTAATTTCATGTATAGATATAATAATAAAATTTGTATTTATACTTCATTCATAATACCAAACGGGCCATAGCATAATATGTTTCAATTTCCAGATGGTTAATCCTTTTATTTGTCTTTCTGGCCTCTTTTTCTCATAGGTTTTAAGCGTCGCCTGCTGTGTGTTTTATAGCCAATGTGGAAATCAAGCTATTTTAAGAGAAACAACGTTTGAGAGGACAAATTCTGGTTGGTTTTCAGTTTGGAAAAAACAAGAACGAAATCCTTGGCTTGCAAATTTCTTCCGTGTGAATGAGTTTAAAGACCAGGTCTGCTCATCTTGGTTTGCTCCGGTTGGGTCTGCCAGCGATTATCCACTTTTGTCTAAGTGGGTTATTTATGCAAAGGTATAATTGAATTGGGGTTATTTTATTTAATATTATTACTCTGTACACTGTGGAGGATCTTATGCAACTAGTGCCTTTTGTCGTTGTGCATTTTCTGTCCAGTTAACTTGCCGTGGCTCTTGTGCGGAATCACCTAATGAGATATCTTCCATATACTCGTTAGGGACCACTTTTATATGGCTCTACATTGCCAATTATGTGGTGGATAGATCAACAAGGTGAGTGAAAACTGATGGCTCAATTTGAATTATAAGTTGTGGTTTCCGATAGTTCATAATCTTAAATTTGTATTATTTAAGTGTTTCGTCCCTCCCCCCTTTTTTTTCCACTCTGTATAATTGTCATATATCTCTTAATCCTTGTTTTTCTGCTTCCTGTTTCGTTGATGATTGACTATTAACAGGTGGGCTCTAACTTACCCTTGGTCGCCAGAAGAGTATGAGAAGTTGAAGGAAAAGGAAACGAATCCTGATTTCTTAGATATGGTTCCTTGGTATTCAGGGTATCAGTTCTTTACCTCTCTTCACTGGGTTTTTTCTTTGCCTTTGCCTTTTTTTTTTTTGTTTTTGTTTTGGGGGGTGGTGGGGGAGTGGGAGGGAGGTTGCCATTTGTGGTTGGGGAGGGGCAGATGGCAAAAAGCACCATCAATTGTCTTGACATTGCTGGTGAATGTGTGCAGGACATCAGCTGACTTGTTTAAGGCACTGTTTGACCTACTGGTATCAGTCACTGTGTTCGTTGGACGTTTTGACATGCGTATGATGCAGGTAACTATCTGAGTCAAATTACACTTGTCAAATCTGTGTTTTCCGCCATTTATTTCATTTTGCTTTCCTGTTGTTAAATCTCTCTCTCTCCATTCATACAGGGGTGTGTGTGTATATATATATATATATATATATATATATATGTACAGATGCTCTTTGAAGTTCACACAGATATTCAGCTGGATTACTTACCATTTTCATGATTGGAAGAATCTAGATACTTCTGAAGGATTGTTTTTTTTTTTTTTTAATTTAATTTGTCAAGAAATGATCTAGGTATATATGTATTAATCTATATAATAAAATAGGGCCAATTTTGAATCCTTAGGTTTGCCTATCACAAGAAAGACTGAGATTTATTCAATGACACAAAATCATTTCCAAATAATTTTTCCCAAACTTGAAAATCTCACTCAACCCATACTTTTTTATGCTAACCTAGGCTTGCCAGATTAAGCCTTTTCTCTCCTATGTCTTTCTTCTATCTACCCTTTTATCACATCTCTAATTTATGAGTAAATATTGAATGCAACGGTGATATCATCTCTCAGTATTGATGACATGATATCACCAATCAATTAATTTTAAATCATATAATTAAGAAAAAAAAAGAAAAATAATTAATATTTCATACAATGAGCCGACTCTTTTAAGTGTTTAGATTTTATGTTGCAGTGCATTGCACCCTCGTACGTCTTAAAATATGGCACCTCAAATTAGGAATGGATGCAGCAGGAACTGGTTTGTTCCGGGCCAAATCAAAATAAGATTAAAATGGCAGTTATGTATATATGCTAATATCATCTGCCCTCCTTGTCTATTCTCAGGCAGCAATGAGTAGGGTTCAAGACGAAGTCAAAGAGGATGATCTTTTGTATGATATATTCAGTAAGAGTAATGAGGATGATCTGTGGTTTGACTTTATGGCTGATACTGGTGACGGTGGAAATTCTTCTTATACTGTGGCACGACTTCTTGCTCAACCTTCAATTCGGGTCCGTAGCGGTAGTGGTGACTCTATGCTTAAGCTACTACGTGGAAAACTGCTCCTTATTGGGGGTGATCTTGCGTAAGCTCAACTATTTAGACTATTCACGAACTTTATTTTATGGGATTTTTTTTTTTGGTTCGTTTGACTAGCAGGAAAATAGTAGGAATGACAAAAAACGAGAAATTTTTTTAAATTTTTATATGTTTGGTTAGTATGAAAAAGAAAATAATAGAAAAAATAATTTTTTTTCATGTTTGAATTTTCTTACAAATAACTAACTTTTTTTTTGTAAAAAAATCAAGAAAATGCAAGAAAATTGTGATCTATAAATAATTTCTTATTTTACCCTTATTTTTCTTAAAATATTTTATTGATTATTATTTTAAAAAAATTTTAGTATAAATTTGATGAATCATATAATTTAGCTCAAAGACCTTTGTGTTGGTAATTGTCTTAGAATTAGATTTCGAGTCACTTTTTAAAAATTTTTTAACTTTCATTATAATTACATATTTTTTTCTTTTTTATACCAATTTAATAGAATTAACCGTAATTTAGACAATTATAAAAATTTCTTATAACTTTACATTCTTCTAAACAATAGAATGAATTTTTTTTAAAATTTTTCCGTAAATTTTTTATTCTAACCAAATATATACATAAAAATATATTTTTTATCATTCTCTTTTCATTAACTTCACTTTCTATCATTTTCACTTTTTATCATTTTTTTCTTCTTAATCAAACAGACCCTTAGAATTTTGTTGTGACTTTTACGTAACTTTTTAGTTTATTATATATATAAAATATTATAAGCCACGTAGAAAATTTTAAAATTTATTTATGTAAGCATGTAACTATTTTTATTTTTTAATTTTGACACAAAAAAAGTTAAAAAAGTTAAAAAATCGTTTCAAGCAGACTTTTTAATTTTTTTTTAATTATTTAAACGAATACCCCAAACAATTTTGAAAGATTTTTCTACAGTCTTATTTTTTTGGCAAAATTTTTCAAAACGCAACTATTTCAGTTCCCAACACACTCATTATGGATACCAACCCGCTTAATCAATCTACTGTCAAGTTTGTCACAATTTCTTAGTTTCTTTTCAAATTTGCATCTTCTAACTGGAGCTCCTTAAATGCAACAGTTGTTTTTGGAACTTGAGGACAATGTCCTATCTTTTTTTGTTTGAATGAATTGTGTGGACTCGATTAACTTTGTTCGTTAGTTAAAATTTATTTTTGCATAAATGAAAATGTGGTTGTTTTTCTTTCTGGCATTTCATATGGAGGGTGATGGGACACTTTTAAGAAAAAGTAGGATTTAAATATGTGTCCTCGGTATTGAGGGTACGCCTTGCGAAGAAGGCCAAGTGTCCTCGGCACCGAGGACACTTTTTTCCGATATAAAGCATGTGTCCTTGGCACCGAGGGCACGACCTCTCTGATAACGCCAGGTGTCTTCGGCACCGAGGATATCCTTTGCTCCCCGATGGATCCACGCGTTCTATACAGTACCAAACTAAAGACCAATTGTGGATACGTCATCTCTTCTTCTGGAAGGGTCACTGACAGCTGTAGCCCATCACTCTAAGAACTGGTCAAAGAAATCATTGACTTGCCTTCCCAATAAGGTCAGAATGATAGCATGAACAAGACACTCCACCAAGGGGAGTCAGACATGTGGCATGACGTACAAGCTGAGGGATAAATGGACAAAAATACCTCTGCTGACACACGATTATCTCAGGTAAGCCTTTAATGAACCCTCAGTTGATGTGACATCCACAATGACTCTGAGAGCCTAGAAGAAAGAGCATTAAATGCTTCAAGACCCGAGCATTTAATAATGAGGCTTCCCCCATGCAAAATAGGAGGCACATTGTCTCGTGTCTGAGTGCTACTTACTACACATATATAAATAGTTTCCAAAAACATAGAGCAGAGGTATGCAAATTCACCCCTCTAGAATATTAAACAGTGCTTTCTTCTTTCCCTTTCTCAAAGAACTAACTTGATTGTCGGAGGGGATACGCCGAAAAATACTTTGACACCCTTATAACTTATTTTCTGTGTGCTAGGAACCGCCTCTGACATGCTAGAAGTGATCGAACAACCCCTGAAGCAATCTATCACCACTCCTTAGGTCCCCTTTGACCCTCTCAACCCATTCCTTGTTATAGGGTCAACCACTTTCTCGACAAACATGAGTTCACAAAGGGAGAGGTTTGTCTTGTTCATCTATTGTGCAAAAATCACTGCGCACAATCTGGCGCAATCTGTGGGAAACGACTAGATTTTTGAAGAATAGTGACCATGGTGAATACTCGACAAAAGGGGAAGAGTCCTCAACAAAGGAATATCGATTTACCAGCTCCCTCTATTTCGAGAACGAAGGACCACGTTGAAAGTGTCAACAATGGCCTTTTCGTTCACTCGAGGGAGCAAACCCCCCAAACTAGTATGGGTATCGAGTCTGGGAGATCCGCCCTGCTTGCCTGTCAACTGGTTGAAGTGATCAAAGAAAAATTTGGAGATCAGTTATGACAGTTAGAGGAGGATAACGTAAACGTCCTAAATCGACTTGATGAATTTGCATCCTCTGGTAGAAGATTCCGAGGCGCGTCGTAGTCCCGAGAACCCTCTATCAAGGAGGTGGGACTTGAAGACATGAGAAACTGCTTGAGTAGCAAAGCAAGGAGTTCCAAGGCTCCAAAGCGCCTGAGGGCCTAGGGGCAACTCCCGGAGGTTCCAGCCAAGAGGGCTAGGCCATTGGTTTGGAACGACCTCCGTCGGGGACTGTCTGGGCGAAGGGAAGCGGAGGAGTCCGACAAGGGGTCGACCCTCTCCGTTTGACACCCAGGGACTAAGGACCATGTTGGTCGGTGTCGAGGATATGGAGAGATGCTCCCCGAGAAGGGGAATGATCTTAGAGAGCGGCTGGATTCCAAAAGGAGAGATAAGACCACACAAGAGGACGCCATGGATAACGAAGCTATCCAATCCCCTTTCACAAAGAGTATTGTGGAGATGAAGGTACCAAAGAAGTTTACGGTACCATGGTTCAAGATTTATGACGGACGATCTGACCTAGAAGCCTATATCAGGCAATACAAGCAAATGATATCCCTATACCACTCGGACCATTGAATACTATGCCGAGTATTCTCAATGAACTTGGGAGACTCTGCCATGAAATGGTTCAAAACCCTTCCACCTAATAGCATAAGATCTTGGAAGGAGCTAACCAGATAATTCTCTAGCCGGTTCATCACAGGGAGTAGGCGACCCAAGGGCGTCAGATCACTATTGACCTTGAGGTAGAAGGAAGGGGAAACCCTCTACCAGTACACCACTCACTACCGGGAGAAAGTGAATGAGGTAGAGGGATGTTCCAAGGTCATGAGAACTGCCTTCTTTAGACTTGGCCTCTCCCGAGACACCAATCTCTATCGGTCCTTGACCAAGAAAACGTTGGCTAATATGGGGGAGATGATGACTCGAATAAATAAGTACTCCCGTATTGAAGATGAGATGGTGGGGGGCAAAGGGAAGACTCTCGCCCCAAAGAAGAAAAATAAGAAGGAGGGTGCATTTTCCTGGAAGGGGTTGATGCCTCCGTAAGGAAGTTCCTTCAAAGGGGTCCACACCGTGTTCAAGGAGCCCATTTATAAATTGCTCCATAAGATAAAGAAGAAACCCTTCTTCAAATGGCCGCCCAAGATGCAGGGTGATTTGTCCACCCGAAACCAGAAGGTGAAATATTTATACCACAGGACTTCGGACACCTCACCGAAGATTGTAGGGTCTACAAGTCTTTCTTAGAAAAATTGGTGCAAGAAGGGCATTTGAAAGAATACGTCGAAGCAGCGCCGGAGGAGGCCCGTGGTGCCAACGACCAAACCGCCATCCAAGGCAATGTAATTGACGTCATCCTTGTCTGCCCGCTGGAATGTTAGACTTCCAAGACTCTCAGATCTGGTCTTAAGAGAGTAGCGTTCACAAATAAGGTGGCCGAGAAAGATGGGTGCCGGCCAGACAAGAGGCTCCAAACTAACAAGGTAGACATCACTTTCTCCGACACTAATCTGGTAGGCGTGGTCCTTCCCCACGAGGACGCCTTGATCTTGACCTTGAAGATCGGAAATTTTGACGTCAAAAGGGTCTTGGTGGACTCCAGAAGCTCTTTCGAGGTAATATACTTTAAAGTCTTGAAGCTCATAGGGCTTAGTACTCAGGACCTCACCAAAGTCAGTACGCCCCCTCATAGGATTCAACAGCTCATATGTTCTGCCCTTTGGAAAGATTACGCTTTTGATTACCACCGGGCCCATTACAACCAACACGGAGTTTGTAGTTATCGACTCCGATTTGCCTTACAACATTATCATGGGGAGGGCCTGGTTGCATACACTAGGGGCGGTGCATTCCACCTATCATCAGAAGTCGAAGTTCCCCACCCTTGAGGGAGTGAAGGAAATCTGCGGGGACTAAGCGTCCGCCAAGAATTGTTTTTATTCAGTAGTAAGAGTAGGGATCGCCTCTAAGGAAAATGAAGGATCCCCAGGGGAGGTTTTGAACAAATAGCAATTACAGTCCGGGCATTTGAGAGTAGATGAGCCCTAGACAAATCCAGTAGACCGCTTAATGGAAGACCTCTGGAAGGTGCTTCTGGTAGACGAAGACGAAGACAAAGACGAAGACGAAGAGAGGTGCTTCCTGGTCGGCTCCACCATGCCCTCAGCCGAGTAAGAAGAGATTACTAAATTTTTGAGAAAAAATACAGATGTGTTTGCATGGGAAGTCACAAAAATAAAAGGTGTGAGCCCCGATGTGATAATTTATAGGCTTTATGTTGATCCCACTTGCAAGTCGATAAAGCAAAAATCACGGCGCACGGCATAGCACCACGCCCAAGCGGTGAATGATGAGGTAAAGAGGCTCCTCGAGGCCAACACTATCCGGGAGGTTTAGTTCCCAGAATGGCTATCAAATACAATGTGTGCAAGAAGAAGGAAGAGATGTGGCGCGTTTGCGTAGACTTCACTGATTTAAACAAGGCTTTTCCCAAGGATGATTT